CCTCACTGTGATATTTCTAATGTTTTTACGAGTACCCAGCTAGTAGTTTGGTTGTTACATTTGCAGATATTTCACTCAGTAAGAAGCATTTTTATCCTAATGATATCAAGACAGCAAAGTAGGTAGGGTTGGTATCAGTAACACACTAGCGCATGAAACTATTCTTGCAATTCTATTATATTTCCATTCTAGCTTCATACTTTCTGATTACTTAAAGCCTGCTGTCCATGTATGGAGTATAGTGTTTTTTTCTTTCTGATCCTGTGTTTGGCAAGTAGCGGATGGGCAAATATGCATCCTTATTTAGGCTCATTGTGTTCACAGTGCATTGACTTCTGGTTTCACCCGTTTGGCTTTCCTAGTTAGGTGTTAATCTTTTTCATCCTATTTTCTTATTCAGCTGGATATACGCAAGGAAATGGCCAGCCTATGTGCAAGGACCTCAGCTAAGCACACTCTGCAGTTTTTTGACCCTTTTTGCATGGCTTGTCGTCATTTCCCCTATAGCAGTTCTGCTAGTGTGGGGAAGCATCCTTATTGCTCTTATGGAAAGGAACATAACTGGTTTAGCTGTTATAATGGTTGGCGTTGCTTTGCTTCTATCATTCTACTCTATAATGCTCTGGTGGAGAACACAATGGCAAAGCTCAAGTATGTTTTCTATCCTTTGTGTTGATTTTATAAATTGGCATTTCTTCTTCCAGAATTTTTGCCCACGTAGTTCTCATTCTTTGTCCAAATGTCATCATGCTTGAGTACGGTTGCTCCTGAAATGCATTGGATTTTTTGGTGGGTGTTATATTATCTCTCTAGAACATGAATAAACCCTCTGTCTTCTGGCTATAAAGAAACACTCAATTCTTTTTAGACACTGATAATAATTCAATGTTACTTGCCCCCCATATATTTGCCATGACATGGCGTTTTGTACTTCTGCATCCAATTTGCACGGTGTTTGGTCCAGGCATCTAGCATTCTACCCACAATAGTTGGCCATACAACCACGATTATTCCATATCAAAATTTCTTCCAGAAGGACCTGACTAGTCACATTAGAAAATAGAGATACTATGGGAATTATTTCAAAACATGTTTGACATAAAAGTTTTTAGATCATCACAACCAAAGTGTGGCTAAATCACTTTTGTAGCTAACCACATTTTGCCTAAGCTAAGTTAGCCGTGAACCAAATGGGCGGCTTACATAAAGAGAAGTTACAAATCCCTGTGGACCGTTCAAAATGTTATCAGCAGTTTCATCTAAAAAAGTTATCAGCAGTACTTGTTCCAGAATTTCTTCACTTTGTTTTGTATTAGATGTTTCTGCTATTGGGTCAATACTATCTTTTTGTCCTTTTGTGAGCTGAGACACTGTTTTCTTTTCGCTTGATCTATTAAAGACATTAACAAATGGAAATCCCTGTGGGCTGTGGAGGTTCAAAATGTTATCAGCCGTTTCATCTAAATATTGTTCTATCATTTCTTCATTTTGTTTTGTATTAGTTGTTTCTACTATCGGGTCAATCAACTATCTGTTTGTCCTTTAGTGAGCTTTTTGGTTGATCTATTAACGATATTAACATATGGATTGTTTGTTGCAGAGGCTGTTGCTTATCTTCTCCTCTTGGCAGTAGGTCTGCTGTGTGCCTATGAATTTTGTGCTGTTTATGTCACAGCCGGTGCTAGTGCTACTGAAATCAATTCTCCATCTGGATTCTTCTTTGGATTATCTGCAATATCATTGGCCATCAATATGCTCTTTATATGTAAAATACTGTTTAATGGTAAAGCCACTCTTCTCTCAGCTTAGTTGAGCCTTATCTTAATATACAAATTTATGAAACTTTTGAAATTCCATACATATTATCTGCAGGAAGTGGATTCGATGTTGATGAATACGTCCGGAGGTCGTACAAGTTTGCATATTCTGATTGTGTTGAAGTGGCCCCTGTCTCATGCTCCCCTGACCCCCCGGATCCTAGTGAGTTATACATGACAAAATCCAGCAGGTGAGTCCAGCATTTTATTCTCGAAATATCTTTTACTAACTTAACTAAACTGCGGTATACCAGCTTCAGTAAGTTTTATGATGTTCACTTGGCTAATCTATTTTTCTTTCAAATTTAATAAGATGATGAGTTAAAAATGCAGGGTGTTGCATCTAGGGCTTCTCTACCTTTGCTCCCTGGTTGTGCTTGTTGTCTATTCCATATTGTATGGTGTGACATCAAAAGAAGCACGTTGGTTGGGTGCTTTAACTTCAGTTGCTGTAGTGATTCTTGGTAATGCTTTTTCTGTGGACTATTGATTGTTTGTGCTCTGTATCTGTTTCTTTGACATCCTGGTTTTCTGTTGTACAGACTGGAATTTGGGCTTGTGCTCATTCAGGTTTGAGCTTCTTAAAAGTCGGACGCTAGCGTTATTTGTGGCTGGAGCATCGCGCGTTTTTCTCATGTGCTTTGGGGTTCATTACTGGTTTGTATTCATCTTTGTGCTTCTTTAGTTGATCATATTTAAGTCCTAGTACTTCTTCCTACTTACTGACTAAGGTATTAAATTAGGTACCTTGGACATTGCATCAGCTATGCTTTTGTGGCATCTGTTCTTTTAGCTGCTGCTGTCTCTGGCTGGCTTTCTATTTCCAACCCCTCAGTTGCAAGGATTGATGCTCTAAGAAGTACAGTGATAAAGCTGCGAGAAGGATTTCGAAGAAAAGGACAAAATAGTTCTTCAAATTCATCAGAAGGTTGCGGATCTAGTGTGAAGCGTAGTAGTGGTAGTGTTGAAGCATGTCAACATGGTAATACTACCGATTCTATTTACAGAAGTAATTCACAGAGTGATGGGGTCCATTGGAATAGTGTTCCTTTTGATCGATCCAACAGTTGTCAAGAAGGCAGAAGCTCTGACAAGAACATAGATAGTGGACGTGCAAGTTTAGCGCATCGCAGTAATTCGTGCCTTTCTGCCGTCCAAGACTCTGAAACTGCGATCATTTCTGCAGATAGACATGGGGATACCACTGCTTCACTTGTTGTTTGTTCTAGCAGCGGTTTGGAAAGTCAAGGCTGCGGGTCTAGTGGATCAGCCACTGCCTCGGGTAATCAGCAACTGTTGGATTCGAACTTAGCTGCAATTTTTCAAGATAGGCTGAATGACCCAAAGATCACATCTATGCTAAAAAGGAATGGTGGACTTGGAGATGTGGAACTGGCTAATCTTCTACATGATAAAGGCCTGGATCCTAATTTTTCTTACATGTTGAAAGATAAGGTTATGGATCCACGGATTTTAGCTTTGCTACAGAGAAGCAGCCTAGATGCAGACCGAGAACATCAAGATGATGCAGATGCTACTGCTACTGAGGAATTGGATACGACTATTGCAAACCAGATCTCTTTGTCAGAAGAACTCAGGAGAAACGGGCTAGAAAATTGGCTGAACATTTCAAGACTGATTTTTCATCAAGTGGCCGGTACTCCAATACGGTCCTTCGTTGTATTTACCCTAATATTTATTGTAGAGACAGTTACTGTTGCTGTCCATCGACCAGAGCCCATCAAGGTGATAAATGCAATACATGAACAGGTAATATTTGTCGCAGAAGCACTATAGCACCTTTGAAAGATTGATTTAACATTGGTAAAACATGTGATAGATTTCCCCCCTTCATTTGGCAGTTTGAGTTTGGTTTCTCCATACTGCTTTTATCACCAGTTGTCTGTTCCATCATGGCATTCACATGGTCCCTGCGTGCGGAAGAGATGATGATGACATCCAAACCACAGAAGGTGATTAGTGATATACAACAAGAGAACTTTTCATTCTTTAGTACCAATTATCATGCCATGTCAGATTATAACCGTCATACTAATACGAGGCTCTTATCACCATATCAGAACAAGTACTTTGTACTATTTCTGTTTTAAAACTTACCATGAACCAGATGCTATGTAATGCAAAAGGTATATATATATATATTTGCGGATAGTGCAAAAGGAATATGATGGTAGAGGCAAATTGAAATGCTGTGCAAGAATTTTAGCAATACATGTGCGTGCCTCTGGATAACTCTGGGTATCTTTACTAGACATGCTTTAGTGCATCAAACTCTCTTATGTAAAGGCCATCTGTGCTTATCTTTCGAAAACAAATAAATATGTGCTCATATTGCACTGAGTATGCTGGGTCTGTCCTTTTATTGCACTGAGTATGCTGTTATGTTGCTTAATTTTACTTGAAATGCAACTTCATTCTCAGCTATAATGACTTGCCATTGTTTTCCACATCTTCAGTATGGCTTCATCGCGTGGCTGTTGAGTACATGTGTTGGCTTACTTCTCTCTTTCTTGAGGTACACTCACTGCTTAATATCTGAAATATCAGTAACTATTATAATTTTAATCATATGCAATACTGCTAATTAATTTCTGTGCCTGTTTATTTCACTTAAGACTAAATATTTTCACAAGGGTATAAAATGATAATATGCAAATCATGCTAGTCATAACCATTTGTTCCACATATGGTTTTAAGGGCACTTTATTATTATATACGTTTCATACATCATTTTCTTCAAAATGGCTTCTTCTGTACAAGAGAATCATTTGTGTATGTGATTTCTCTTAAAGAAACTTACGGCTCTTTATACTTGCGGAAGGGATTACGTGTATACTGGAAATCCTGAGTGTGCCATCCTCAGTTGGCAAGTGACGTGACCTATATCTGTTAGTTGTGTTACATGCATGTTTCACTTTAGGCGGCATGAGATGATGATACATGCTCAAAAATAGATCTCCACTTTGTTTCTATGGATATCAGTTTACATCCGGTTCTACTACGAGGTGCTTTATCCTGTAGGATGTTAGAGAAATACAGATCCGAATTTTCGTACTCCAGTTATCCAGTGAGCTAAGATATAATGCAATAAGACATGATTCAAGCAAGTACAATAATTATATGGGATTAAGCATTACGCTAGCACACAGACACCCTTAACAAAGTCTAATGGTGGTGTCACTGCTGAAGGTTTTCTATTGTTTATCAGTTTGTCTTAGGATGAGCTTCATTATGTGATTGATTAACTAAATTTATTTTGGGTGCATGTGCAAGACTAAAGCTTTAGGTTGACTGCTATATTTTAGTTGGGTAATGATGATGGCTTGACATATTCAAATCATCCGCTGTCTGTAGTCAAAACCTGTTTTACACATAGATTCTGTGGCAACTAGATATCTTCAATTAATGCAATTCCTATTTTCATTGGTGAAATGTATCCTTTTTTGGTTCTGAATGTTACTTATGCTATTCTGCAGCAAGTCATCAGTTATATTGGGTTTGTCTCTCACGGTCCCACTTATGGTGGCTTGCCTCTCATTTGCTATTCCTATATGGATGCGTAATGGTTATCGTTTCTGGATTCCGGGAGGGGAACTTGATAATCGTGAAAATATTCGTCAATCTCCAGGGAAGAAAGAGGTTTGTTTCGCGTATCTTCTTAAAATTTAGCAATGGGTATTATTTATATATGTACTAACCAATATGCAACGTTCATCTATCTAAGCTCTTTGCATAACTGAACTTATAATGTATGCCACACTCTGACCCAGCTTCGTGTTATGTCCTGAGCTGTAGTTTTATTGCATGCACCATGTTCTGCAGTATATATATATCCAAACATGAACAATTTTCTGTCCCTATTTTACAGCATTACTCCTTCTGTCCCATATTAGTTGTCGCTCAAACGGATGTATCTAGCACTGAAGTGCGTGTAGATACATCCATTTCAGCGACAACTAATATGGGACGGAGGGTGTATTATTATTCTAGATACCTTCCAGTCCACCAATGGTATTTGAAATTATGTTCATGTTGCTCATTATTAATCTTTTGTTGTCAGGGGACTCTCTTCGCAATCAGCGTAGTTGTTTTCATTGCATCAGTTATTGGCCTTGGCGCCATAGTATCGGCGAAGCCTTTAGATGCTTTAGGCTACAGAGGATGGGATGCTGATAAAAAGAGTTTTTACTCTCCCTATGCAACATCTATGTATCTTGGATGGGCATTATCTTCCACAATTGCGGTGCTTGTTACTGGGGTGATACCTATTGTTGCTTGGTTTGCCACATACCGATTTTCGCCTTCATCGGCCATATGTGTTGGCCTTTTCGCAAGTATGTCGTACTTGATCTTTTCTCAATTTGATATTGAAGCTGACGCTTTCAGATATAACTGACTCCTGAGTTGTTACTTTCTGTAGCTGTTCTTGTATCCTTCTGCGGTGCATCCTATTGGGGAGTTGTAAATTCACGTGAGGACGGGATTCCTCTAAAGGCTGATTTCCTGGCAGCACTACTCCCCTTACTTTGCATTCCTGCAATGTTTGCTCTGTTCACTGGGCTGTATAAATGGTATAAAGTCCACCTGTAGCATTTTCATTTCTACTCATATTTTTGCTGTGCTGAGATGAAACGCAAAAAATTGCAGGAAGGATGATGATTGGAAGATCTCCCGAGGAGTTTACCTTTTCGTCGGCATGGGAATGTTGCTATTGCTTGGTGCTATATCAGCAATTATCGTCACAATTAGACCTTGGACTGTAAGTTAACCTAAATCATGGAGAAATCTTCATATACATGTGTAATTCATCTGTGTATAAGTTATAACGGAGTATAATTGACATGACATCTTTATACAGGTCGGAGTCGCATGCCTCCTAGTTACCCTGTTCCTTGTATTTGCTATTGGGGTCATTCACTACTGGAAATCTAATAATTTCTATTTAACAAGAACACAGATGCTACTTGTCTGTTCCCTTGCTTTTCTCCTCGTGCTGGCTGCCTTCCTTATGGGTCTGTTTCAGGGTGAGTACAGGTTCTCCCTTCGCTGTCTTCCATTCTGCTTTTACTAGTTTTAGCGGTTTGGTGCACTGTACTACTGTCATCATTTCATATTAAATGTGAATATCTTTTACAGGCAAACCTTTTCTTGGAGCATCTATTGGTTATTTCTCATTTCTGTTTCTTCTCACTGGAAGGGCTTTGACTGTAAGTTTGATTTATGTTACTTACTTGCATAACTATTAGCCATCAGATGCTAGTTTTGATATTTGCTGATCATCCTGTGACACTGAATGAATATAACCTTCTCAGGTCCTTCTATCTCCACCAATTGTTGTTTATTCACCACGGGTATTACCCGTATATGTTTATGATGCTCATGCAGACTCTGCCAAAAATGTTAGGTATGGTAAACAACCTTCATACCATAACCTTCTGAGATGAACCTAATCTTTCTTATGTTCAGTATTGATCATAGTTTATTTTTGTTTCTGTTATGTCCTATCCTATAAGTGCTGTTGTCATCTGATAAAATACCCTAACACCACTCTCTTTACAGTTACGCCTTCCTTATCTTGTATGGGATTGCATTGGCAACTGAAGTTTGGGGTGTTATCGCTAGTCAAATAATGAATCCACCGTTTGTTGGGGCTGCTATTTGTGCTAGCACTCTTGTAATTGCCTTCAGTTTCGCTGTTTCTCGTCCATGCCTAACTCTTAAGGTTGGTACTTTTGTACAGTATAAGCAAACACTGAACATTCTTTGTTTTTGTCCTTTTTTCATCTGTAATTCCAAGTAACAATCTCTATGAAACTTGAATCAGATGATGGAGGATGCCATTCATTTTCTCAGCAAGGACACAGTTATTCAAGCAATGTCACGGTCTGCTAACAAAGTAAGTCGATTTATATCCTACTATGAAGATGCTACTTAACAAACTACTGATTTGAAAGCTGGTCAATATAGCATTTTTTTTTCTGCATACCACTGTTAAGCCTGTCTGAACCATCTTTTCCACTTTCTTTTCGTTAACAACATTTGTTGAGAACTATCACCAAATTTGTGCCTAGCTAGTGCATATTCTATCCCGTTGCATACCTTTCCTACCGGTGAACTTTCAGAAGTACATAAATGTTACTGAGATGGCATCCTTTTGTAATTACGTGCCAATAGTTCTTCCGTGGTAGGCATGGTTATCTATCAGCTGTCAGTCTAGATGAGAATCTTGTTAGTGACTCCACCAATTTCCAGGATATGCACATAACAATAAGAGCACCATATAACAATATAATATTGTTGTTACTGTATCGTTGACCATATGTTCTTTGTACAACTCAGACAAGAAATGCTATATCCGGGACTTACTCAGCACCTCAGAGGTCCGCAAGTTCTGCTGCTCTTTTGGTGGGAGATCCTGCTGTTACTTTGGATAGGGCTGGGAACTTTGTGCTTCCTAGGGCTGATGTTATGAAACTGAGGGATCGTTTGAGAAATGAAGAAGTCACTACAGGGTCTTTCTTTTGTGGAGTAAAAAATTGTTTCATGGTTTGCCCTGGATCCCCAGCAGACGTTGATTATCGGAGGAATATGTGTGCCCATGCACGCATCTTGGCTTTGGAAGAGGCAATTGATACTGAATGGGTTTATATGTGGGACAAATTTGGTGGTTATTTGCTTCTGTTGCTTGGATTGACTGCCAAAGCTGAACAAATACAGGTAAACTCAATATTTTCCGCCATTCTTGTCTCTCCCTAATTCATGAGCATTGTTAATGCTGTATATTTCTGTTTGTTTCAGGATGAAGTTCGTCTTAGGCTATTTTTGGACAGCATAGGCCTTTCTGACTTAAGTGCTAAAGAAATTAAGAAATGGATGCCTGAAGATCGAAGGCAATTTGAACTTATTCAAGAAAGGTAATAAGTGATGTTTTTACATGATACCATAGTTATATGTAGGGCTCCCTGGAAGTCATGAGCTCATCATCAAAATTTTGCTTTTATTTGTGTCTGCAGCTACATAAGGGAGAAAGAAATGGAAGAGGAGGTTTTGATGCAAAGGCGAGAGGAAGAAGGGAAGGGAAGGGAAAGAAGGAAGGCATTGTTGGAGAAGGAGGAACGCAAATGGAAGGAGCTCGAAATATCATTGCTGTCTTCTATACCTAATGCTGGAAGCAGGGATGCTGCGGCTATGGCGGCAGCTGTCAGAGCTGTGGGAGGTGATTCTGCTCTGGAAGACTCTTTTGCCAGGGACAGAGTCTCGTCAATAGCCCTTCACATACGAAAAGCACAATTGGCACGACGAGCAGAGCAGGTGCTATTCGCATTATACTTATATTTATTTTTTATGGTGCTATATGTAAAATATGTACTTTTTGGGTGCATGAATTGCGGAGAGCCATCCTTTGTGAGTTTATTGAATGTTTCGTGGTTCACCTTGAACTGGTAACCTGACAACACATCAGTTTAATGACTTCATGATCAAAAATAGCATTTTTAAATAAATTCTATAGCACGTGCTACATGCACATTTCCTTTAGTTACAGTTCCTGCTGATACTACTTAGATATCTGTTACTGTTGTGAATTGTTGAATAGACTAGCATTCCTGTTCTTGCTGATACTGTTTAGATATCTGACATTGTTATGAACTGGTGAACAGACTAGCATTCCAGGTGCTGTATGTGTACTTGATGATGAACCAAGGAGTACCGGACGCCATTGTGGAGAAATTGACTTGTGTCTTTGTCAAAGTCAAAGAGTGAGCTTCTCCATTGCAGTAATGGTTCAACCGGTATCTGGTCCAGTCTGTCTTTTCGGAACCGAATTTGAGAAGAAGGTTTGCTGGGAAATCTTGGTGGCAGGGTCAGAACAGGGAATGGAAGCGGGGCAGGTTGGTCTTAGATTGGTAACTAAGGGTGAAAGGATGACTACTGTTGCTAAAGAGTGGAATATTGGTGCGTCAAGTATTGCAGATGGCAGGTATGAACTTTTCACCACTTTTATATTTTGTGTGGAAACAACAGAAAATCAAAAGCAGCTAACCTGTTCAACTTTTCCTTGCCACTGCAGTGTCCGCAAGCATTTACTGTCTGTTACAGACTTACTGTGTTGTTTTTCTGTGGGGTTCCATCTTTTCTTCTTCTAGTATCTGTATAGAAAGAATGTAAATCTTAACATTTGTGGTTCAGACCAGACCTGTTAACTCCTGCTACATTATTAGTGGTTTTCCCCTATATAGTGTTGCTTTAGTTGTAATGTTTTCAATGAATAAGTAGGCGGTAATTCCACTGAAAAATCTTTTGATGCAGATTTAGTTTCCTCTACTTTCTTTTACTAGTTATATCTCATAGTCGCCGATTTGATTTTGCAGGTGGCATATCGTCACAGTGACTATAGATGCTGACCTAGGTGAAGCAACTTCTTTCATAGATGGAGTTTATGATGGATATCAGAATGGATTACCGTTGCCTAGAAACAACGGCGTATGGGAACCTGGGGCAGATATTTGGGTTGGTGCGAGGCCACCCACAGACTTGGATGCCTTTGGTAGGTCAGACAGTGAAGGTACAGACTCAAAGATGCAGATAATGGATGCTTTCTTATGGGGAAGGTGTCTGACTGAAGATGAAATTGCTGCGCTATATACAATCATGAGTCCTGCGGAGTATGGCTTTTTTGACCTTGCAGCTGAAGATGCTTGGCATGGAAGCTATTCTGCTAGGGTATATTCTAGCTTCTAATTCCTTATTTGTACCCTTTTTGTAATGTCATGATTTTGAAGGTAATATGAAATTACAAATGCCATTGTCTTAAATTTACTGTATTTTCATTCAGGTGGATGACTGGGAGAGTGAAGAAGCAAACTATGAGCTATATGATCAAGAGGATGTTGAATGGGACGGGCAGTATTCAAGTGGTAGGAAACGTCCGGTGCGCGATGCAGTAGCTATTGACATTGATTCCTTTGCTAGAAGACCCAGAAAACCGAGGTTTGAGACACGAGAGGAAGTCAACCAGCGTATGCTGTCTGTTGAAAGGGCTGTCAGGGAAGCTCTTAGTGCAAAAGGGGAGAGGGCATTTACTGATCAAGAGTTCCCTCCAGACGATCGATCTTTATACGTGGATCCAGGGAACCCTCCTCTAAAATTGCAGGTACTGTTCATGCATATATGTGCTCTTGTGCACTAAATATTGTTCAAGTCTTTACAATTGATTTTTGTATGAGTTCAGGTTGTTTCTGAGTGGACGAGGCCTTCTGACATAGCAAAGGAGATATCTATTAGTTCTCAGCCATGCTTGTTTTCTGGTTCCGTGAATTCCTCGGATGTATGCCAGGTATATAGTGTTTGGTTTGTGCTGGTCTGGTATTTTTCCCTACAGTAGAATTTTTTAGCAAGATCAAGCCATGTTTTGATAGTACTAACGAATTTCCCTAACTGTTCTTTTCAGGGTCGGTTGGGAGACTGCTGGTTCCTGAGTGCAGTTGCAGTTTTAACTGAGATGTCTCGTATATCTGAAGTTATAATCACTCCAGCATACAATGAAGAAGGGATTTACACTATCCGATTCTGCATTCAGGTATTTGATAATATTCAGCTTCTATTTCCATGAGGCCATAGACCGGTATATATATGTGTACATGTGAAGTAAATAGATGGGATATTACACCACTCAGATTATTGGCATTTCTCCTAAACCTAGAGATGTTAGCAAAAGTCCCATATTATATTTGATGCCTCTTTGTTATCATATACATCAACAAACTAACAAATATGAATTACCTTGCTGCCCATGTGGGCTAGCTGTCCCAATTTACATATAGTACATTATGCATGTATTGCAGTAAAAAAGATACCAAAATTATTCATTAGTGCAGTTTTATCAATTTAGCACATGCCTGCAGTCCTGCACAGTTCTGTTCCCCCATTTAATTTAGTAGATTATGCATAAATGTATTATAGATCAATTCATTAGTCATCACACAATTTCCTGTTCAAACTCAACAGTATCCAAGAGAACGAACTAGTGCACACAGAGATTTGTCTAGGGTGCATCATAGTTTCTCTAGGGTTTATGCATTATTTTCCACCAATAATCTAATTCATTTTATGAGCACTAGAGCATATGCATTATCTTCCGACTTCCGCTAACTTGACTCTTTCTTGATCACGCTTTCCACTAGGGTGAGTGGGTGGCTGTGGTCGTCGATGATTGGATTCCCTGCGAGTCTCCTGGAAAACCAGCATTTGCTACGAGTAGGAAACAAAATGAGCTATGGGTATCCATTCTTGAGAAAGCTTATGCAAAACTTCATGGCTCTTATGAGGCGCTAGAAGGCGGGCTTGTGCAAGATGCTCTAGTAGACCTCACAGGAGGAGCTGGCGAGGAGATTGATATGCGGAGTCCCCAAGCACAGATCGATCTTGCTAGTGGAAGATTGTGGTCTCAGTTGTTACATTTTAATCAAGAAGGTTTTCTTCTTGGTGCTGGAAGTCCCTCTGGCTCTGATGCTCATATTTCATCAAGCGGCATTGTTCAGGGACATGCTTACTCCATTTTGCAGGTTTGCTCTCATTTGTTTGTTTGAACTTTTGGCAGTCTCCATTCTACGTTGATACATTTATACTGTATTTTCAGATAAGAGAAGTTGATGGCCACAAGCTTGTCCAAATTAGAAATCCTTGGGCAAATGAAGTTGAATGGAATGGGCCATGGTCAGACTCGTCACAGGAGTGGACTGAACGAATAAAGCATAAGCTCAAGCATGTTCCACAGGTACTAATCTTTTCCCGGCTATAATTTTGACTGAGTAGATTGTACTCCATTAGCTTTCATCAGAAAGGATTAACATTGATTTTTTTGTATTACCAGAACAAACAATATATTTTTATTCTGGAAACATTGTTCCACACGATTTTTACCATCTCAATGTCTAAGAAATCAAGTAAACAGAATGGAGTTTATTTTAAAATAGTGTGAAAATTAAAAATATCTTATTATCAGTACTTCAATAGCCACCCCTGCAATTTTGGGTTATAAATTGTCTCTTTCGAAAAAATAGGCACCTGTTTGAATTTATAACCCTCACCACTCACCACAGTATCTTATTGTCTATTATTGTTGTTGCAGTCAAAGAATGGTGTATTCTGGATGTCTTGGCAAGATTTTCAGATCCACTTTCGATCAATATATGTTTGTCGTGTTTATCCACCTGAGATGCGCTATTCTGTCCATGGGCAATGGCGTGGCTATAGTGCAGGTGGTTGCCAAGATTATGACTCGTGGCATCAAAATCCTCAGTATCGACTTAGGGTAACAGGACGTGATGCACTGTATCCTGTCCATGTGTTTATTACCCTTACACAGGTATGTGCCATCTGCATGTTAATATAAGACTTGAAGAAAGCACTTCGATGCTGATTTTGACACGGACTTCTGCTTGTCAGGGTGTTGGTTTCTCTAGAAAGACAAATGGTTTCAGGAATTACCAATCTAGTCATGATTCTTCCATGTTTTATATTGGAATGAGGATACTCAAGACAAGGGGCTGCCGTGCTGCTTACAATATCTACATGCATGAATCCGTTGGCGGGACAGATTATGTAAACTCAAGGGAGATATCGTGTGAATTGGTCTTGGAACCTTATCCGAAAGGATACACAATTGTGCCAACAACTATCCATCCAGGGGAGGAAGCACCTTTTGTTTTGTCAGTTTTTACAAAAGCACCAATCAAACTAGAAGCTGTTTAGGGCAGGATTGAGACTCCATGCGTTTGCTACTGGTCACTGTGCCTCTCAGCTGCTGGCCCAGGTTCTTTGGGGCCGAGTGACGCAGAGTCCCAGCTGTGGGTTCAAGAAGACCAGGAAATGGGTAAGCGCTTGATCCTTGCAGTTGTCTATGTTCCGACTTTGCCTAATTCTGCCGGCCGTATGGTCTAATGCTGCAGTGTTCTCCAAACTATAAACAACCTATCTGGTGTGCTGCTGCATTAATTTAGATAACAAGATGTAATTCAGATAACTGACGAACCTTGTAACCATTTCAGGGTATTTGCTAAGAGCAGTACGCCTATAGCTGGGATTTATGATGCAGCAGCTCTGCACTTGGACCTGAATATGCCGGAATCCATCAGGGCGCTCTGCCTGCAAGCTGATGAGAGAAGGCAATGTTTTTGCTAGCAAAGAAAGAGAAGGTAACGTTTCCAGTCAGCAGGTTGCATGGAGCGAATTGATCGGTGCATGTGCTGGATGAGAAGAATCGTGGCGTTTTGTGTCCATGCTTGTAGATAGCGGTGGCAGCTGACATTTAGACCTAGTAGCCCAATCCTGTGTATACCTGTCCGTGTTACCCCTGTACATACTATAGAGTTAGATGAGTTTAACCTTGCGCCTGCCGTTCTTAAGCGCATATCGCTCTTGTGCAGCTTGGAAATGCCGTTCTAGCAAGCTGCAGTTTTGCTGATCCATAACCTGAGGGTAGTCTGGCCATAGTTGTTTTCATTGATTGCCTGTATGTAATCCAAATCTGATCTCATTGAAAGGAAGCGATTTTTTGGTATATGATGTGAAGCCTTTGTCCCTGTGCTCGTCATTCACCCATTGTTGCAATGACTAAAGGGATTCTGCTCCCCCCTACTAAAATGGAGTCGGACACAAGCAGTATTACTGTACTATTCAGACTTCAGAACTTATCAAGGGAGGTTCGACGATGTGGATCATGCGCGGCTGGGCAGAGCACGCACGCCATCTTTGAACTCAAAACTCTTGAAGTGCTCCTCGTCTTTACGCCAATCTGGCAGTGGCCGGCATGCAATAATCCGGCGCCGTAGAGGTGGGTGCTTCTAGGGGACCGCCACCTGAGTCAGTGACCATAGCCTGAGCTGCGTATACGTGCGGGAAGCAAATCGTCCGCAGTAGGTACGTACACGTGCAAGCAACGGTTTTACTCACGCGCTAGTGGTTTCTTGGTAGTCGCTGCGCTACTTTGGTCGGCACGGTCGATCTACGGGGTGAGCCCTGGGTCTCCGAACCGATAAACAAAATTTTCTACGAATAGAACCGATATAAACATTTCCATTGTTCAGGTCACAACCGTTGTCCCCTTCAATAAGCTGCACGATTGTAGGCAGCAGCGATGATTATCAGGCCAGAAAGGAAAAAGGTGCCGATAACTTTTACTGACGCCGAGCCCCGGTATCACGTCACCTATCGGTGTCAACCATGGAACGTCGACACATGTACGCTCACGCCTTGTGGCCTGTGTGCTGTGCCCTCTCACGTCCGCCGCTCCGAGACACCTGCGCGACGCCCGTACGTGCCCTCCCTGCCCGTCCGGTTGCTCGGCCGGCCGGTCGGTCCGTCAGGCGGCCGTGTTAATCGCATCGCACCGCACCTCACCGGTCATTCCCTCTCGTCCTCTCGTGCTGGTATTTACGCCGCGCCGGGCAGGGTGTTCCCCGCGCGAGCCGCTTTGCCAAAAGCGTACCGCCACCACCCCTGCCGCCCCCCCTGCCAAGTGCTAACCACCTTAAAGCAGGCGGCTTTGCCACTAAAACCCCGTCAAATACTCCACCCAGCGGCCACGAATCATTAGCATCGCGCACGCACGGACGGCCGCAGCAACGAAAGGTAGAGAGAGTGCGCGAGCTTGCCGGCGCTGGCCATCATGGCGAGAGCCTTTCGCGCGGCATCCCCGCTGCCCCTCCCCTCTTCCAGCTCCAGGAGCGCCACCGCCGCGAGCGGCGGCGGCAGCGGCAGCGGCAGCTTCACCTGGCTGCTCAAGAAGCGCTCCAGCAAGGCGCCGCAGCGCAGCGGGCCGAGCGGCCAGGAGGCGGAGGACGAGGGAGACGAGGAGGAGGCTGGAGCGGCCGCTCTGTCCTCCGCGCAGTCGTCTTCCACCGGCGAGCAGTCCTCCTCCTCGTCGTCGTCGAGGAAGAAGCGCGCGGACGCGCTGGCGCGTCTGCGGTCGGTGTTCCTGGCGGCGATCACGCACCGGCGCCGGCGCGAGCAGCTCGGGTCGTGCGTGACGGGCACCATCTTCGGGCGGCGGCGCGGGCGCGTGCACGTGGCGCTGCAGACGGACCCGCGATCGGCGCCGGTGCTGCTGGTGGAGATGGCCGCCTACTCCACCGGCGCGCTCGTCAGGGAGATGTCCTCGGGCCTCGTGCGCCTCGCGCTCGAGTGCGAGAAGCCGCCGCTCAACGCAGGTACGACGTCCACCACCCGCACAACCACAGCGAGAGCAGCTCGAGCGCCAAAGCCACAGATTAACCCGCAGGCACGTGCAGGGGAGAAGCGGCGGCCGCTGCTGGAGGAGCCGACGTGGCGCGCGTACTGCAACGGGCTCAAGTGCGGCTACGCGGTGCACCGCGAGTGCGGCGCCGACGAGTGGCGCGTGCTCGGCGCCGTGGAACAGGTGTCCGTCGGCGCCGGCGTGCTCCCGGACGACGGTGCCGCCGGGGCCGCAGGCGGCGCCAGCGAGGGCGATCTGATGTACATGCGCGCCAAGTTCGAGCGGGTCGTCGGATCGAGGGACTCGGAGGCGTTCTACATGATGAACCCCGACGGCAGCGGAGGGCCCGAGCTCAGCATCTACCTGCTCAGAGTCTGACGGGCGGTCGAGGAAAAAAATTCTTCCTGTATGGACTTTGTACACGTCCTTGTGCATGCATATTTGGGGTTGTTTTCTTTCTTTCTCTTGGGTTCCATGTATTCTGGTGCAGGACTTAATTGGCTGGCCTTGTACAGTATGTAGTACGTACAATAGTATCATTGCTCACTCTAGTGCTTAATCAAAATTAATATTGATATTTCCTCCATTTTAACATGCAGTGCACATTAGAGCAAAGGTTAACCAAATTTGTAGAACAAAATATAATCATCTACAGAACCAAATCAATATTATTAGACTTCTCATGAAATATATTTTCATGGTATTGTGGACGCAGTCCCATCCATTCGATCAACCCCTTCCGCTCTCTTTTTCCGAGAGCACGTAAATTGTGTGCCCTTTGTTTTATAAAAGACAGAGGATAAAATACAGAAAATTCAGGCAAGCTCTCACCGCAACCGGGTGAGAAGTAAACACACGTAAATTGTGTGTCTTTGTTTTATAAAAGACAGAGGATAAAATACAGAAAATTCAGGCCGGGTGAGAAGTAAACACACATACACACACACAATACAACCCCAACGCATGAGGGTGTGTCCTAAATTGACCAACAAAGCCGTGTCTTGACCCACGTTGTATGGACTTTGTACACGTCCTTGTACATGTCCTGGTCAACTCGAAAGAGCGACAACTCCAAATGAACTTTCGTTGCTGACGCACCGACTATGCTTGCGTGCCTAAAGAGTTGGCAGGTGGGTGATAGGACTCACATAACCCTGGAAATGTCATGGTCTTGGACTCATGCATGACGGGGTACATAGCTCCCCTGAAGAACAATCCAGAATAGCGGTGAGCATCAACAGAGGAACAATGTCGAGGGCGTTGCCATTATCGATCTGGAACCGAACCTAGGCTTTCGCCCGGAGACAACCAATCAAGTGAGAGAGAGCGAGGTGCCAACATACGACAATGACGCCTCCAAAGAGGAGAACAATGCCCACATGCGCCATCGCCGCTGGCACCAATCGAAGACGGGCATGACTTTCATCCGAATCATCACACACCTGCATTCCTGCCCATAGGAATGGGTCATACCACCCATGTTGGTTCGCTTAGCCGTTGCAGCAACACCACAACGATGAAGCCGCATCGTCTCGCCCCACCAACACTACCATGCCGAGCTACCACCACTTCCGCCTGTACCACCATGGTGCCACGGAGCAGTCGAGGTGTGACTTCACCATGCTTGTCAGTATCCACGGACCAATCCCACCAACCAGATCCAGACCAAGATCCGCTGGAACTTCGCCACACCTTGCCGCCAAGCACTCCGCCGAAAGGGAGTCACACCACCATCGGGGAGAGGGGCAGGGACCAAGACACCCCAGACGTGAAGCTACTGCCGTCCAGGGCCGCTAGCGGGCGGCTGAGTTACCCCCACCCAGAACAGAATGAATCTGTGTAGGGGAAGCTCCGATCCGCTGCCACCGATCTGCAAGGCTAGTTAGCATGCTGCCCCCACACCTATGGTGGCGCAGCCACCGTCGATAGCCCCTGGGGTTTCCGCCCTAGCCCTCAGGCTCCGCCATCATGCAAGGCGCCCAACGACGTGAAGGAAATATGCCCTAGAGGCAATAATAAAGTTGTTATTTATATTTCCTTATATCATGATAAATGGTTATTATTCATGCTAGAATTGTATTAACTGGAAACTTAGTACATGTGTGAATACATAGACAAAACAGAGTGTCCCTAGTGTGCCTCTACTTGACTAGCTCGTTAATCAAAGATGGTTAAGTTTCCTGACCATATACATGTGTTATCATTTGATAAACGGGACCACATCATTAGAGAATGATGTGATGGACAAGACCCATCCGTTAGCTTAGCATTATGATCGTTTAGTTTTATTGCTATTGCTTTCTTCATGACTTATACATATTCCTCTGACTATGAGATTATGCAACTCCCGAATATCGGTGGAACACCTTGTGTGCTATCAAACATCACAACATAACTAGCTGATTATAAAGATGCTCTACAGGTGTCTCCGAAGGTGTTTGTTGCGTTGGCATAGATCAAGATTATGATTTGTTACTCCGTGTATCGGAGAGGTATCTCTGGGCCCTCTCGGTAATGCACATAACTATTAGCCTTGCAAGCAATGTGACTAATGAGTTAGTTGTGGAATGATGTATTACGGAACGAGTAAAGAGACTTGGCGGTAATGAGATTGAACTAGGTATGATGATACCGATGGTCGAATCTCGGGCAAGTAACATACCGATGACAAAGGGAATGCCATACGTTGTTATGCGGTTTGACCGAAAAAGATCTTCGAAGAATATGTAGGAACCAATATGAGCATCCAGGTTCCACTATTGGTTATTGACCGGAGATGTGTCTCGATCATGTCTACATAGTTCTCAAACCCGTAGGATCCGCACGCTTAACGTTCAATGACGATTTGTATTATGAGTTATGTGTTTTGGTGACCGAAGATTGTTCGAAGTCCCGGATGAGATCACGGACATGACGAGGAGTCTCAAAATGGTCAATAGGTAAAGATTCATATATTGGAAGGTAGTATTCGGGCATCGGAATGGTTCCAAGTGATTCAGGTATTTTTTCGGAGTACCGAGGGGTTACTGGCCCCCCCCTCCCCGGGAAATGTTGGGCCTACATTGGCTTAAGTGAGAGAGAGAGGGAAGCCCGCGGGGGGTGGCGCGCGCCCCCCTCCTAGGGAGTCCGAATAGGACAAGGAGGAGGGGGCACGACCCCCCTTCCCTTTCCCTCTCCCTCTCCTTCCTTTTCCCTCCGGTGGAATAAAGGAAGGTGGGGCGTTGCTACAGTTCGCGTGCCGAGACACCACGTGATGATCGGGTGTGATAAGCTCTACGTTCACATACAACGGGTGCAAGCTAGTTTTGCACATGCAGAATACTCGGGTTAAACTTGACGAGCCTAGCATATGCAGATATGCCCTCGGAACACTGAGACTGAAAGGTCGAACGTGAATCATATAGTAGATATGATCAACATAGAGATGTTCACCATTGAAAACTACTCCATCTCACATGATGATCGGACATGGTTTAGTTGATATGGATCACGTGATCATTTAGATGATTAGAGGGATGTCTATCTAAGTGGGAGTTCTTTAGTAATATGATTAATTGAACTTTAATTTATCATGAACTTAGTCCTGATAGTTTTTGCATATCTATGTTGTTGTAGATCAATGGCCCGTGCTACCGTTCCCTTGAATTTTAATGCGTTCCTAGAGAAAGCTAAGTTGAAAGATGATGGTAGCAACTACACGGACTGGGTCCGTAACTTGAGGATTATCCTCATTGCTGCTGTGACGCCCAGATAATTAGGCTACAATAATCCCATGTTAATGATGCCACGTCACCACAGTTACTGTTGTTAATCTCGTGTTAGTTCAAAATCGATTCGAAATTCAAACTTAAAATAAAGTCAAACGGTAAAGGTTTTCAAATATTAAAACTAAAATGTTGGGGTATTGCCAAATAATGCATAGGTAATTCTTGTGGAGAAACCAAAATTTTATAAAAAGTTTAAATGCACTTAAATGATTAAAACAGTAGGTAAAACTATTGAATAAATGTCTTTGAATGTTATAAAATACTAAACTATTTTGATCAGGGGTAAAACTTTCTGTGAAAGTAGTTGGAATTGTAACTCTATTTTAGATATGGGTTTTACTTTTTGTAAAACTATAAATTATTAAATAAATAAAAGAAAGCAGAAAAGAAAAAGTAAAAATAAAACAAAACTAAAAAGAAAAAAAAGCCCCCTGGCCAACTGGGCCAGACGGCCCAGCTCACCGGCCAGGCCGGCCCACCTGGCCCAGCCGGCCGAACCGCCCCTGCCTTATCCCCACGAGGGGGAAACCCTAACCCGTAACCCCCCACTCCCCATTCCCCTCGCCCCCACTCGTCCCCCCATGATCTGGATCGGGATCGCCCCGATCCCGCGCCGCCCTGCACCCCCGACGACGGCGCCTCCTCCCCGGAGCCCCCCTCTCGCCGACGCCAGCGTCCTGCCCTGCCTCTCCACCGCCGGCGCCTTTGGACCTCGTCGCGCCCCGTGGTCGTCGTCC